AGAACTGAAATTATTTTGTCAAGTTTCAAAAATAGTCTCATCGACTTTTTAATCATATTAAACCTGTGATAGGTTTTATGAGAACTGACTTCTTGGTAATTCTGTCTTTCCATCCAGAAAATAATATGCTTTTCCATTTCTTCAGCTCTTTTTTTATATTGCTTAGTGAGGTTTGCAGGCTCATACTCATAGGTTCTATACTTTTTTGTTATTAAAGTTGTCCTAAGATTTTGTTTTATTGCTAATGGAATAGGATTTTTTTCCATGTCATCTTCTAACTAGTTATCATTGGACTATAGGAAAGCATTGTTGTTTAGTATTTGTTTTTCATTCAGCCACTTTGCATATTCTCTTATTATTCTAATGACTTTCCAGTTGATCCTCTTAGTTTTCAAGGTAGACAAACAAGCCTATCTTCTCCAAATAATAAAAATGTATTGCTTTCTTTTTGTGTTTTATATCTTACTAGGTTGGTCAGAATAATTTTTTAAGTAATTGGCCTAGTAGCATCTCTTGTTTATTATCTGATCTCAGTGGGGTGTCTGCTAGGAGCTTACTGTTATGTATCATGTTGATTGTTGTTGTTCACTGAGATGTAAGCTGCGTCTAACGATGTGCAGAGATCTGCAGTGAGCTTTGACAAGTATACACACACCATGTGGCTCCCACATCAGACAGTACAAACCATTTTCAACGTCTCGGGAGCTCTCTTGCACCCCTTTCCTGCCAGCCTTCCTCCTTCGAAGGCAAGCCCTCTTCCACGTCTGTCTCCACAGATTAGTTTTGCCTGTTCTTGAATTTCATATAAATTAATGTGATATTTAAAACCACAATTTTTTGTCATCCCCAGTGTTTAGGAATTTTTTTTTTTAAGATTTTTTATTGGGGAATTGGGGAAGAGAACCATGTTGGGGAATTGGGGAAGGAAACACTGTGTTTTTCCAGGACCTATCAGCTCCAAATCAAGTTGTTGTCCTTCAATCTTAGTTGTGGAGGTTGCAGCTTAGCTCCAAGTCCACTCGCCACTTTCAATCTAATTGTGGGTGGGCATAGCCCACCATCTCAAACTGGCAACCTTGATGTTAGGAGCGCGTGCTCTCACCAGCTGAGCCATCCAGCCGCCTGTTGGCAGTTCAGGCGCAGCTCAGTGTGGGTGCAGCTCACTGGCCCATGTGGAAATCAAACCTACGACCCTGTTGCTCAGAGCTCACGCTATGACCAACTGAGCCACCTGGCCAGCCCTTAGGAATTTTTAAATGTGTAGGGAAATTTCTTCTTTTGAAGCAAATTATTTTTAAAACAACTAAATATTCCATTTAGCAGCACCCTGCAACTCATGCGGAAGATCCTGCAGGCTCACAGCTCTGATGTGAACCCCGAGGCCCTGCCCTCCGCACGGGCTCAGAGCTCCTGCTCTGAGGAGCTTGGTCCCAGTCAGGACTCGAGCTCCCCAGCCTCAGGCTTGAAATCAGCACGTCCGTAAGGCAGGCTCTCACCATGCTTCATCGTTGCTCGGGACGTGCTAAGAGAAATGGCGAGTGAGAAGAACACTCGGTTATATAGAGGCACCCACACAGGCGTCCTCGAGACAGCCCGTCTCTGCCAACTTAGCCCCTTCCTTTTGAAACTGTCCCATCCAACATGAGGCTTTATTGCCTTAGTCATCCGGAAACTCGAGGCTANAATTCCCTGATTGATTGTTGTTCTCATCAGACACCTTGCCCAAATAAGTCAAAGGTTTTTCGTGCATCATTCATTCTGTCCATCCGTCCATCCATCCATCCATCCATCCAACCCTGCTTCTTCACTGGGCCTCTGCCCTACATCAAGCACTCTGCTGGGTGCTGGGCCCCAGAGATGAAATGATCAGTGTCAGCTCAGTAACAGCACGGACACGGTCACACACGTCAACACGTCCTGCCACGTCATGAGCTCCCGTCCAGATGCAGACAAGGTGCTGTAGGAACACGGTGAGAGGGGACTTCACTGGGGCATAACATGTGACTTGGGCCAGATAGAGGACAAGGGGCAGCACCAGCAGAGGCCCCGAAGTGTAAGGCTCGAGGCACAGGTAGGGACAGCCAGCTTCTAACGTGACTACCACTTGGGAGAGTGGACCAGGCCGTTGCTGGGGTGGCGGGGTGGCGTCTGCTTGGGAAGTTCTCCCTCATCTCAGTGGCCCAGAGCGACATCACCAACATCTCCTTGACCCACAGCCCATCCTGCCGAGGCAGAATTAGCTTTCGCACCTCAAGCAGGGTTCCATATTCGTACCATTATATGTATTTCCCTGAGCATTTAGTGCGTTGTGTAATCATTACTGGTTTATATGCTGTCTTCCAGCAAGACCATGAACCCCACAAGGGCAGGCAGGGTCCATGTGTCATTACTCTGTGTACCCGTGACACCCAACCGAGCGCCTGACCTGTACTGGCCGCCTCTGTGGGCGTTCAGTCTCGTTATTCACCACGAACGTGTCTAAGAGCATCATTAGTCCCTCGTTAGCCTCTGGCTCAGATTCCACACTGTTTTTCCTTCAGATCCTCTAATGTAGAGGAATCTGGAGTATTCTATACTATTACTATGATTGCACGAAGTATTATCATTACGTGGAAAATCTAGTGATAAGGTGCTTGCTCCAGGCTGGTCCTGACTTCAGCTGGACGGAATGAGTCTGTGGTCTTTGCTGAGTCATTCTGTGCTGCCATCTGTTGCTTAGCTGCCACGTATCTTCCTGCCACAACAATTAGAAAGACCGGCACTGTCTTCTGGGCAGATGACCCGGTTTTCATCTTTATTAGGAACCAGTGCCCTTAAGAAGCAGCTGAACATGCTGGCTAATTGTGGTCAGAAAGACCAGCTGAGCAGTAAGCATGCTAAAATGAAATTACACTTGGCCTGCACTCAGCGCTGCGCGAGTGGGCAACTGCAAATAACTCCATCCAGTCGTCCACTCACCCGGCTACTCAGGGGCCTCTCAGCAGCCAGCTCCTCCTGCAGGCTGATTAGGACTCCNGGGTATATTTAGTCAGGTTTATGCCCAGTTTGTTTTCAGGCGAGACTGCTTTACAACTTTGGTTTCAGAACAAGCTAATTGCAGTAGGAAATGGGGAGAAGCAGCATAAATCTTTTCACCCAGCATTTTCTTCATGCTGGTCTTTATTGGAAATCTAAGGGAGATTCAGTTATGGGGGAATGCAAGTAGAAATAACTGCTCCTTTTCAAATTTAAAATTTAATTCACAATGAAGAGAAAACAAGACAACATTGCAGGCCTAGGTTTATTCTTTATTGTACTAATTTAAAGTCGCAGTCGACATTAGAAATATTAGTTTGTTTATAAACGGCGTGTGTGGCTTAGAGCTGTGCTTCTCAGGCAGCACAAGTGCAGAACAGCCTAATAAATTTCAAAGTGTAATGAGTGCACTTTTTAAATTAAAACTATCAAGTGTAATTATGGCTTTCTGTGCTGACCTGTGTGGGTCAGCAGTAATTGAGTCTAAGGGAGATCAAAACTAGTTGTGGGTGAAAGGCGCACGCTTTCCCCAGCACTGCTTGGGAGCGCTCATCGTGGGAGAAGCCACCCCTAAGGGCCACAGAGCCGGGCACTGCTCCCAGATGTGAGAAACGTGTAGGTCAAGCACAGGACCTGGGCAGCCATGTTTGGAGGTCGCAGACCCACTGGTAGGAGAACCCGCACACTTGGACTTGAAGCTTTGTCACCAGTAAAGCCCAGTAAAGAACTTTGCTATCAGTAACTTCTTTCCAGAATCTATTTGCTTCAGTTGTTACTGTTTTATAGCCTTGTTGATGTGTTATTTACTATTTTCATGAGGTTTTAATGTCCTCACCACATGTCCCTTTCCAAGTTTCTCCCAAACCTCCATCATCCACCAGAAGACAGGATGACAGTACAACCTCGTGCTGTCGGCAATGAGGCACCTGTGTCATCTAAGAATACATATGGGCATTTGGGCTGGAAACTCCAAATGGCCAGTGTCGGGAACCTTCGTCTGAAACCCTACTTCCCAGGCCTTCCCACGTTTACGTGGCTTGCTGCATTTCCATGAACAGCTCCTAGTTGTGAAACAAATTGTTGACCATGTTTTCTCAATTAAATACTACCCTGTGTAAAAACAGTCACTCCACACCCGACATCAGTTACAGAGTCACTGGCTGTTTTAGTCCTCCCAGGGGAATGGAGGCGAATTCTGTCCCAAAAACAAACAACACTGAATGGTGAAGCTTTGGGGGTTTTGGCAGGGAGGTAGTTTGTATTTGTGTTGGGGGCATATTTTACCTTCTCCATTTTCAAAACAAACACACCAGGACTGTGCAAAGTCAGAAGCAGGCAAACCATTGATTCTCACGTGCGTTTTTCTTTTCTCTTTCTGTTCCTTCGGATCCCAGCGAGCTGCCACACCCCCCGCAGAACCTCCTGGCCAGCCTGAACTCCTCCCACAGCCACGCAGCAGTGCTGTCCTGGGTCCGCCCCTTTGATGGCAACAGCCCCGTCCTGTATTACATTGTGGAGCTGTCTGAAAACAGTGAGTATGGAGGCAAAGCTGGCGCCGTGGACACGATCAGATTTCTCTCTGTGCTCTTAATGTCCTTACCTCTGCTTCTGGCGCAGACCCAAACAGTCAGTAAAACACTGATGCTTTACGGAGTTTCAGTTGAAAAACACAGCTCTGGCATTAGGAAAGTTGAAAGTGAATAAGGGCCCAGTGGGGAAGAGAAGGAATGGTGGAGGGCCTCCTCTGAGAGCCTGGATTAGGGGCTCAGACCCCTCAGGGTGGCCGTGCATATGGTCTGCCCTGAGCAGGGTCCTGGGCTCAGCTCCGTCCCCAGGGTGAAGTCTGAGATGGGTTCCGATGTCTCCACTTGGGGCTGATTTGAGAGTTGACAACACCAGTAACGGGTGACAGCTTTTGGATATTCCCTGGAGCGCAGCCTGGTGCCCAGTGTGCAGTGGGCCCTTTCTCCTCACCGCCCCGGGCCTCTTGCGGCAGTGAGCACCGTCCTTGCTCCTGTCTTGGCTTGCCCGAGCCCCCTGGATCATTCTCCCATGCTCTCTGCGGGCCGCAGGGCGGGCTCCTCGCTGCTCAGCTGGCCCCACTGCCCTCCTAGAATCTCCTCCTGGGAAGCCACCTGCGTCTCTGTGGTTTCAAGTGGCAACGTTTCCGTGAAAAGGTGCCTCGATCTTTGTAACGTCTTTGCCCAGACCTCCAGGGTCCAGCAGTTGAACCCAATTACTTAACATCTCTATCCAGTTGTCCCAAAGCGTCTCCAACTTAACTCCTTCAAGCTATGTCTTTTGACGTTTTGTATCTTAACTGTTCTCACCTGAGTACGCAGCCAGTCATCGGCGCCCTCCATGACTTCTGTACACTCCAGCCAGAAGCCGGGCAGCCCAGTCCTTCCTGCTCCAAGGCCCCACCGTGTTTCTGGTAATGGCCTTTATCCTGCCCCTCCCCCCGCGATGACACAGTCCCCTTCTCACCATCACGTGCTCGGGCCTCAGCAGCCACTGTCTGATTCTCATTTTGTGGCTGAGGAAACTGCCACCAGACCCTGACAGGTGAAGGTGGTCCCTGCCCCCCGCCCGGCCGTCTGCCTCCAGAGCACCGAGGTGCTCACAGGGCACGTCAGGCACCTGCACAGCACCCCCGTGGGCATCCTGCTCCCTGGCACCTGGGCAGCGGCCCTTCCGTGAGTGCCCACCCAGGGGCTCGGCACACTTTGCTTCCAGTGTGTGTGAGGTTGGAGGAAGCCACTCTGCACATAAGCTGGGCGCCTCCCAAACCAGGTCCCTGACGAGGTCCCAAAGGCGGTATGTCACTTCTAAATTCTCACCCTTGGCTCCAGTGGCCTGAGCTTTGGGCACCGTCTCAGAACAGGGAGCCTGATGTCCGGGCCCTCACGCCCTTCCTTGTGGTCACATGTGACAGCTGGCCTCGTCTCTTTCCTCAACGAGAGGGAAGGGTGTGCATGGAAACCAGTCTGCACGTCTTAGTTTTACTCAGGAGCTCTGATCAAAGAGGGGAGGGATTAGCTTTATCTATTAAAACAGCTTTCTGAAAAGGTAAGGTTTTCCTGAGGATGTCATGCCGCGTGGCCT